GTGCGGAGCCCCCTCCAGCAGGGTGGCCGTGGGGCCCACAGCGGAAGGGACCGGCTGAGCTCAGCTGGGGTGCCGGGGACAAAAGGGCCCTGGCCGGTCTCCGGGGCTGGGGGGACCGTTCGTGAGAGGCCCTGATTGTTCCCCCTCTTGGCACCTCTGGGCACCCCTCTCACTTCCTCTTCTCCACCCCCCGACTTCCCAGGCCTCACCCCAGCCCTGTATCCCTGCTGCGCACCCAAGCCCGGACGCATCCTGGGGGGCAGGAAGCTGTGTGTAGCAGCGGCAAAAACTGTTTATTTTTAGAGAAAATTGTTTCCATAAAGGGGAAAGGCTTCGCAACTTGCCACCTCCCCCACCATCCCTTCCCCCCACCGTTGGGCCTGGCCTGACCCCGCTCTCTGCTTTGGGGTCACTTAGGGGTCCCTGCCGCCCCGTGCCCGTCTCCCCCTTTTGTCCCGGGTCTCCTTCCTGGATCCTTGCACCAAGTCTGTCCCGGTTAGAGCCCGGCGCCCCCACCCCATCTCCGCCCGGACCTTTCCCTGGGGCCGACTCCAGCCAGGCTGCGAGGAGGGGGTACGGGAAGGGTGGGGCTGTTGGGCTTGGGGCCCCCAGTGGGGGGCCGTGTGGAGGCAGGGCTGCAGGAACAGCTGGAGCCTGTCCAGCGGCTGGACAGATGTGCGCGAAGGCAGGGAGGTTTGGCTTCTTTGTTCCAGGCCCTTCGGCAGCCGGGCTGGGTGTGCACCGGGGGGAGGGTCCCCCACGCCCCCACCTGCAGATGTGCCCTCACCCTGGCCCCGTCACCCCTGTCCCTAGGTCATCCTTGGCTGGTGCTTCCTGAAGTCTGACTTGCAGGCCCGGACGACTCCTGCGGAGGGAGGAGAGGATGGCTCAGGTCCTGCACGCGCCTGCCCCGTTCCCAGGTCAGGGGTCTGAGGGAGGCGGAGAGCGCCCAGCCCGACCCTGGGAGGACTGGGAAGGAGAGGTGGCCTGAGGGGACACGGCTGGCCTGGGAGAGGAGGCCCGGTGCTCGGGCCCTGCGGGGAGGCGTCTCGGGTCGAGAGAGGGCGGGCTGCGCTCCGAGCGTCCTGAGGGAGATCCGGCTCTGCCCCGTGGGCCCCAGGGGGAAACAGGACCAGTTCAAGAGCGGGAAAGGACCCTGGTCGGGTGTCCTGGCCACGGCCACGGCCCGTACTGCAGGCCTGGGGGAAGC